CCCCCTCATTCACAATGATTTGATCTTTTGTTCTTTGATGCCTGATACCTGATCCCTTCAACATCCCATGATCACACAGGCTGGTGTGCTTCTTCCATGTGAACTTTGTTGCTTCTGAGCTAGATAGCCACTTGTTTACCTTCAAGCCTTTAAGACCCCAGACCAGGGGTCCTCAAAATTTTTAAACAGGGGGCCAGTTCAGTGTCCCTCACACCTGTTGGAGGGCCAGACTATAGTTTTTTAAAAAACTATGAACAAATCCCTATGCACACTGCGCATATCTTATTTTGAAGTAAAAAAAACAAACGGGGCGAAAACACCCAGTGGGCTGGATAAATGTCCTTGGCGGGCCGGGCCGCATGTGGCCTGCAGGCCGTAGTTTGAGGACGCCTGCCCCAGATTTATATCTTTTGATAGCGGGCACCATCAGCTTTCTTCACCACATTTGCTTATGCACCCATTTGTCTTCAGCAATCGTGTTGGGAAAGTGAGCATCATGGAATGCCAGTTTAATAGAACAAAGTGTTCTTGCATTGAGGTTAGTACTTGAGTGGAGGCCCAATGTTCATCTGCTACCTTAATACTAAACCTATAAATATATCCAAAGCTAGGCTATTTATAGAAGTAGAACACACATCTTTCTCCTGAGTTGTTGCTGGCTGTGTCAGTCTGGGTAGACTAGTGAATGTGTAAGCATCTCAGCGCTGGCAGGGGTCTCCACACGGCTGCTCCAGCACCCAGGGCTGCATCCGGGTAGGTCCATGCAGCTTCTCCTTGGGAATGCCTTGCAGGAAGTCAGCCTTGCCAGCTGAAGCAGGGAACTGTCTAGACAGCTGCATCCTGGTCCAACCATCAGAAAGCAAGAGACCCAAGAACTAGAACGGCGAGGCTCACCGAGCCATTTATCCCTCCGCCCTTCCATTAATCCCACATGTGTTCATCGGCCAGGTTGGCACAATAAACTAACTCAGTGTCTTAACTGTCTTTCCTCCCTGAGCTATCTTCCCCACATCCCGTTTCACTCGTGCTGTGCAGACCACTTAGGAAGCACATTTGACTTTTACACAAGAGTGCGGAGCTGCCTTTGGTTGAAAGGGACAGAGAGACCCCGGGGTCTGTTGTGAGGGTGTGACTATACTAACGAGGAAACCTGAGAGTCGGGAGCTACAGAGGCTCTGCTGGGGGAGCAGCTGGTGTAGCGGTGTGCTTACATGTGACCGAATCCGGATCACCCAAGGTTTGTGCTTGATGTTGAGGGTGCTTTTGCCCTGTACACCCAGCTTTCCTTTTGTTCCCACTCTGTCAGGCCACATGCCTTTTCTGTTCTTAATTATTTGGGTTCCTCTTTCTCCAAAATGTCATAACTTTCCAGGATAACCACACCCGAAAGCGCCAGAAAGCTTTGCTTACAGTCCCTGGTTTTAGGAGCTTATGGTACATCCTTGTTTTCTCTCAAGGCCATAGTCCTGTGGGTTATGCACGTGTCCTCAGTCTGTGTGTTTCAAAGGAAGCCATGAGTCTGTAGCCATCGTTTGTGCATTTGAAAAAAACACAAAATGTCTTGTTCCTTGTCACTTGAAATCTTTTCTCCCGAGACAAAATGAGGCTTCCAGCTACCGGCAGCTGTGAACTGGCTCCACTTCCTGTTACCAGCAGTCCACAGCGATTCTTGGCCACAGACACACATAAAATGCATTTGAGCATCAAATTTAATTTCCTTTTCCTAATTTTCATTGACCCAATTAACTGCTAACGGACAGAATCACAGCCCTAGTCTTGTATTTCACTGAGCATTTACGAAATACACGAGGCATTGTGCTAAACCTTTTTCATTGCTGCCTGATTTAGTCTTCGTCACAAACCCGATGCAGTGGGACTGTAAGTCCATTTTAAAGATGAGGAAATCTGAGGAAGCTCGGACAACTTGCCCAAGTGACAGAAAAGTGCTTTGAACCAGGTTTTTCTTGTGTGCCTCACTGCCCCATTCAACAGACAGTACGTGTCTTGCCGCTCCGCCTCTGATGGTTTTGTGACTCGCTGCCCTGGGTGGGCTGCAGGGTCCAGCTGACCGCCTTCTCCCATCTGTTTTCATTTATGGTCTCATGCTGATGCCAACCGGGTTTTTTTTTTACCCTGAGCCAGGGATTCTAAAGTCTGTTTTCTGCTTGTTTATCATTCAGCACGTTGTGAGCTTGGAGTAAAACTTGGTGAGTGTTGTTAATGGGAGTTTGCTTTCTCTAGTTGCGGTGCGCATAGGTCTCACTTAACAATTCTTAATGCTTTCCGTTGGCCGGTTTTTGAACACGTGTGTAGAGTCTCCAGAACATCTCCCTGAACCTGCCTTCCCAGGATAGTGATTAGCATACCAAAACTCCTGGGTGGTTGCACAGAGAGCCCTGAGGTTTCTTGCATGTCTGTTTAAAGGAGATCTTATCACTTCCTAGAAAGTATTTTCATTATTAGCTCGTTTTTTACATTTATTTTACTGGGGGGCTCGTACAGCTCTTATCACAATCCATCCATCCATCCATTGTGTCAGGCACATATGTACATATGTTGCCATCTTTTTCGAAACATTTTCTTTCCACTTGAGCCCTTGGTATCAGCTCCCCCTCCCCCATGAACCCTTGATATTTTTTTTTTTTCATGTCTTACACTAACCACTGTCTCCCTTCACCCAATTTTCTGTTTTCCATCTCCCTGGGAGGGGGCCATACATCGATCATGTGATCGGTTCCCCCTTACTTCCCCCCCTCCCTTCCTGTACCCTCCTAGTTTCACTACTCCCCTTAATTAGCTCTTTTATCTTAATGCATGATTGCCTAAAATGGGGGAGGGGGCCAAATGAAATGGAAAGATTTGATTCAGAGGAAAAATGCTTGTCATTAAAGTTCCTCTTCTGCCCTTTAGTATTTTGTGTCTTCTCACTGCCAGCAACCCTATAGGCACCATAGAATTGTCTCTATGGGTTTCCAAAACTGTAACTCTTTACCAGGAGTAGAAAGCCTCATCTTTCTCCCTTGGAGCAGCTGGTAGTTTCGAACTGCTGGCCTTGTGTGGTATAACCACTATGCTGCCAGGGCTCACCTTTCTGTGACCTTCTTTCCTTAAGGTCATTTTAATCTTTTAATGTTTCTTTAGCATTCATTTTGCATTGAAAGTTTATCATGACATATGTTATTAATTGTACTACTGACTCTGGTGGCATCATGGGCCAAGCTAACGTAATGGGCTAGTAGACGGCTAAGGTCAGTGGTTCAAACCCACCAGCTGCACTACAGGAGAAAGGTGAGTGCTGGTAGACTAGATTATAATAAAAACTCACTGCCATCAAATCAGTGCTGACTCGTAGTGACCCCTGTGGGTTTCCGAAGCTGTAACTCGTTACAAGAGTAGAAAGCCCAGTCTTTCTCCCAAGGAGGAGCTAGTGCCTTTGAATTGCCGACCCTGCCAGTCACAGCCCATTGCTATACTACTATACCACCGGGGCTTCATACAGACATATTAAAGATTAAATAAAGAGTTTATGATAGGTACTCCCTCTCCTCATAAACCTGACTGGACGATAGAACTCTTAGGCGCACCACTCGTACCATAGGCATCATTTTATGCCTTGATTAAGTGCTCACCGATCTGTCTCTTTTCTTTTCATATGTAGGGTGTTCCTGAAAAGCCACATAGTGATTGAGTCTTCAAGCCCTTTGGGAAGAAAATCCGTGATACTGGATTGTGACAAAGATGATCTTTTCCCTAAATCCTCTATTTAGATTGGGCTGGCTGTACAATTGACTCCTGGAAAAGTATTTGCCGACTCTAGAATAGTGACGTGGAAACGATGATCGCTTGTCTTGACATCTGACCTGGATTCACTGCACTCCTCCCTGTCTGTGCTCTGCAGAAACGTGCCCAAGGCTCTGGCCAGGAGTTCGGGCCAGGGGCAGTTCCCCAAGTATTAGAGTTCACTTATGTTATTAAAACAAATTGCCATATTTCAAAGCTTTGAACTAAAACTTAATGACAACCTATTGGTTTTGTATCAGTGCCCAAAGGGGACAGGCTGATGGTGCTTAACAAAGATAAGTAGGGTATAATATTTATCCAAAAGTTTTTAAAAATAGGGTTGTACTTAAAAAGCAAAACAATACAGTGCGAACGGAGTGATTGTGCTCCGGCTGGCGTCGCCGTGCTGCAGGGTGTGTGGAGCCCCTCCCTCCTCCCTAGAGCTGGGAGGGAATGCCTGCTTTCCGGCCCACTCGCACGCTGGAGTGCCTATGAACACCGAGGGACACAGCTCCTCAACACGGAACTGTGTGTGGACAATCCGACTGAAAGCAAGGCAATAAAACATCACAGTTCAACACTGATGTGCTGAAAGTTCCACCTCAGTTTATGAAATTGTACCTGAAATCTGTCATTGCCTAAAGGTGAATACATCTCTGTGTGTATTTCAGCCTGAGCCAAAATGATTTCTTTCTTTCATACTCCAGGACAGATTTTTTGTTTCTTCTCCACAGCCCTATAGAGTTTGCAATCTGTGATTGCCTTGTAAAAATAAGAGTGCATATGTCACTATATTAAACATTTGGTGTTTCTAAATAGTCAATTATATTGGTGAGCACAATGTATTCGTTTAATGGCATAGACCATTCAGACCTAATTTGCAAGTATTGGGTCTTAAACTTCAAGTGCAATGTATATAAAAACCAATCTGAGCCTTCTATTCTCTTAAATATTTATTTTTTTGTTCTGTTTTCAATGTGTGAGACGTTCAAGAGGGGTTCTGCATCCATTTCAGTGCTGCATGGAGGCAAAAGTCAGCAATCATTTCTCCCAACTATAGTTACATTACTGCTGTACTTTCCACTGGACCCTGTCCTTTACAATACTCCGGTTTCGTGGTTTTAGCATACTTTGACTTTTCACTTCGAAATTTACCTTTTTTATTATGCAGCTTAAGTATTTTTAGCTTGTTTTCAATTCTGTTAGAATGACTTGCTTAAAAGATGTCCCTTTTCAATAGAGGTCACCAGTCAGCAGAATGGAAATTGAAAGGAACTTGCCTGTGAGTGTTGATGTAAATGTATTTGATTTTCTCTGTGTGATGGTTCTTGTGGGGGTTGTTTTGCTCTTACTTTGAGAAAGCTACCTTGGAGGCAGCTTTAGGTTATAGCCAATTTGTCATTTGGATTGTTCTGAACTCTGGGCTCATCCCTTATAAATTTTCTAAATTGAAAATGATTAGTTATATTAAAAAACTTTTCAATGAACATGTCAGCATTTTATGAAAAGCCAGATGTTAAGAGATGAAGGCAATGGATGAATTTTTTAAAACATACTTGATTGTACACAAACAATAAGTATTTTTCTTTCTCTTCGACTGGAAATCTCTGTTAGAAATAATGTAGCTTAAAAAAATGTGAATCTAAAGAATTTCTTTGCCAATAATTTATAGCAAGTATATGAACCAAAGTGATTTGAGTTTGTTAAAAAAAAAGTAAGATAGTATGAACAAACTTTGCACTATACCAGAGTTGAACATCTAGTGAGATTCACATTCATACTAAGTTTTCAATATTGTGTTCTTTTGCATTCATTTTTTACTTTTATTAAAGGTTCAAAACCAACTGTTGTATTTTTTGGGGGGGGACTTTCTTTAACTAGAATAAAGTTATGTCCTGTATATTATGTTAGCATTTGCAATGACACAATATTTTACACCTTTTCCAATGTTATTGAATTTCAACCTAACCTCTTGGCACAGGATTATATATAATTGAGTTCCTTTTTTTGTACTTGTGAAAATTAAGTGCCATAAAAGCTAACACATCCCCCCTTTTTTCCTGACCCCCTGGTGAAAGGAAAGCACCTGGAAGACAGGTTACGTGGGCCTCAGAGCCAGCACAGTGCATCCAACAAAACCTTGTGCATGATCAACAGAGCGATTTATAAATGATGCCTTGTCAGTGTCACACGAGGCTACTTTCAACCAAATAAGAACTGAGAAATAAAATTTCATACATGTAGCTTATCTTACACATGAAGCTGCTTATCTTTTCCTGGGCTCCATTTACTTTGAACCCAGATGCTATCAAGTACATGACCTGGACTGACGAGTAAAGACTCCCCACCCTCTTGTTAGAGAAATGCAGTCTTTGACCCTCTAACCAGCTACCACCGTTTAGACTACAGGGGACAGAGAAAGAACTCCTGGTCTCTGCTGCTTGAATGCCTGGTGCTTAATCTCTTAGATCCAAGTGATTGACTCAAGACACCCTCCACTAATTCTGCCCCACTGCTGTCATAAAGACAGCCCATTGCCAAATGAGCTAGTATAGGCATGGAGATTAGGATTTACGACACTTGGGGGAGACAATTTGATCCTTTACATTCACCCAGTGCTCCCCTCCCCAGACACAAAAGTTGGCTACATGCAGACCACCTTCAGTCCATCACCAAAAAGCAAGCTCCCTGCCATGGAGGCCATGCCAACTCAGTGACTCTAGGACAGGGTAGAACTGCCCCTTTGTTTCCCAAACTAATGACAGGCGTGGAAAGCCTCCGTTTCTTCCAAAGAGCAGCTGGTGGTTTTGAACCCCTGACCTTGTAGTTAGCAGCCCAACACATCCACTTAGACCACCAGGGCTCCTTTCAACCAACTACATCATCCCAAAAGTCTTAAATCCACTCCAAATTGAAATTCTATTCTGAATCAAATATGGGCAAGAAAATGAGTATATCAAGGAAAAATTCCTTGTCACCTGTGAAGCAATAAAATCTACACTATATTGTCTGTTCCCAAAGTACAGTGATGGAAGAGGTATAAGTTAGGCCTTTTCATGACAAACAGAACTTGGAGGTAAGGAATGAATAATAAGCACCGAGCAAGTCCAAACCCCAGCAGAACAATTAACATTTGCTCTCAAGCCTTGGAAATAATCATCTGCAGGTATCAGGCATCTAAGACCCAGAATAAAACCATAACCAAGGTAAATGGGGGGTGGGGACGGTGCATGGAGTGGACTCAATGCCCATCTGTAGACAATTGGACATCCCCTCACAGAGGGCTCACAGGGAAGAGATGAGCCAGTCAGGGTGCAGTACAGCACCTATGAAACAACTCATTCTTTGGTGTTTCCTTCCCCCCACTATCATGACCTCAATTCTACCTTACAAATCGGATTAGACCAGAGCATACACACTGCTACAGATAAGAACCCGCAACACAGGGAATCTAGGATCGATAAACCCCTCAGGGCCAACAAGGAGAGTAGACATACTAGGAGGATTAAGGGAGGGTGGGGGGAGAAAAGGGGAACCGATCAATTCAGAACCCCCCTCCCAGGCGGGCGAATAACAGAAAAGTGGGTGAGGGGCGACAGGATGATGAAAGACAGGGAACAAATAAATCTTATCAAGGGTTTGGGAGGGAGGGGGAAGAAAGGGGGAGCTGATATTGGACTCAAGTGGGAAGAGAATGCTTTGAAAATGATGATGGCAGTATATGTGCAAATGTGCTTGACACACTGGAGGAATGCATGGATTATGATGAGATGTAAGAACCTCCCAAAAAAGTATTTAAAAAAATAATAAAAATCATCTGTTCTCAGCCCTCCAGACTCGGGGGTGGGGGAGGAAGTGGGGAGTTGACTGCTTTCTGGATTCCAGATGGCCTACCAGCACCACAGAGGAGCCCTGGTGGCATAACCATTACTCGCAGGGGGCTGCTAACTGCAAGATCAGCAATTCAAAACCACCTACCGCAAGGGAGAAAGAGGAGGCTTTTCTACTCCAGTAAGGAGTTACAGTCAGGCTCCCACAGGGGCAGTTCTACCCTGTCCTACAGGGACCCTCTGAGTCAGCTTCCCCTCAGGGCAGCGAGTTTGTGTATAATGGCAACCCTACTCTCTCAGCTTTGGGTGACCCCTTTCTTCTAGTCTTGAGTGGTGACCACCCCTGTTTGCCCCTGCAGACCGCATTCTACTTCCCTTGGGTTGTGGCAGCCCTGCCTCCTTAACTTTAGGCACCAGTCTCCCCGCCCCTCGCATTGTCGCTAAGCTGGGGAAGATCTGAGACTCAGGAGGCCATGGTCCCACTGTTCGACTCCAGAGAACACAGTC